AAATGTCAGAATTCACAATCACATCTAAGCAACTTTTGCCACCATATGAAAGTCACATGGCCTACAGACGGGCCTGAGAAACAGGGCCGCTGGTGAGGATGAGGCAGGAGCAGAGTGGAGCAGGTAAGCCCCCTCCTTAAAACCGGGCAGCTTCAATGCTACACATTCACTGTTAATTGTGCAGTATATAGTTTTTATTTTAAAAGACCCACATAGGGAAAAACAAAATGGTCATCACCCTCAGAATACAGTCCTATCACTAGGATAGAGCTGAAAGGGTGAGGGGCCTGTTACCGTGTGTGGGGGGCTCAGACCACCTGCCCTTCGAGGAGCAGGAGGCACTCAGGCCTTGGGGCCCAGCAGCTGTCACTGACCTTCTAGGCAGCGTTGAGGTCTTTAGTTTCCTCATCTGAAAAAGTGGGGAGGAGAAGACTATCCTGGGTAGTTTACTGAGGCCGTTTAGCCCACCGGACTCCAAATCCAGGTATTTGACTCCCACTGAGGTGCCCTGCCTCCACTTGCTCAAGGCCCTTCTGCACCCGGCTGCCACTTTCCCAGCTGGTCTAGAAGCATGGCTCCTGGGGAGCAGGGATTCTCCCCTGGACCACTGGGGACCACCTTCTACTCATTTTCACCAGGTACCACCTGACTTCACAAGGGTGGGACCCTGGAGTCCTGGCAAGAGGCAGAAACCTTCTCAAACTCCCTCCAGGCAGAGGAGTTTTCCGGATAGATTCCAGTAGGGGTGTGCACCCTGGACCCCAAGGACAGGGAGCATAGTCAGGCCTCTCCGGGGTGGAATCAGGAGGACTAGGATAGTTCTTCCTCTGTGTGTGCATCTGTCTGTCCACTTAGTGTGTCTATACCACTGGCCTCTGTCCATGTCTCTGTGTGTGTCGCTGGGGCTCTGCCTTTGTCTCTTTCTCTCTTTGTTCTCTATGTTTCTCTCTTTCCTCTTGGTCTCAGGTTCACCTTTCCCAGTCTGGAGCTTTTGTGAGGCAAGCAAGATGCCAGGGCAGGACATTCAAGGAGGCACTCACTCACTCTTGGCTGCTGACCCTGCCCTTGCACGAGCCCCAGAGGCAGCGCCTCCTTAAATGTGCGTAGCAGGCACCTTCCTTGCCTCACCCTGGTTCAGGTCTTGTTTTTCTCTCTGTCACCTGTTCTCTTTCTTTGCCTCTCTGACTCCCTCCTATAGCTGGGTATGTGTATCTCTCTTGTCACATGGTCTCTGGTCTCTGCTCATCCCCAGCAACTTGATCTTTTTGCTCCTCTGGGCACGTGGCTGAGGTTGGTTGCTCCCAGTCCAGCAGTCCAGTTTTAAATTTCCAGGAGGTAAATACAGCCCCACTCGGGTCAGCCACTCACACCTTGCCCAATCAGCTGTGGCCAGGGGCCTCCCAGCCCTCAGCCGGGGCTTGAGAACAGGATTCCTGAGGTGGGACAGCTCAGCAGCAGGGCCCTCTTGGCATGGGTCCCCAAGTCCCTTCAATATGAAGTACGGCCCAGGGGTACCATCAGTGCTGAACATGGACAGCTTTGCCCCAGGCCTTCCTGGGAATTTGGGAAAAACAGAGCCAGAACTGTTTGAGAACAGAAAAAGTATGCTCCCTTCCATCTCCTAACCCCCATCTCTTGGTTCTTTAAATGTATTGAGTGTCAAGTTGCCGCCTCCTCAGACAGCCTGGTTCTTCCAGCTGTATCTGCAGGAAAAACGGTCATGTCCCATTCTGGGTTCCAGTTTTAGATGCCTGGACTGTGTGTGATGAAAACAGTCTCCGCTCTCTCTCACCCACTCGCCTCCAAATGCTTTAATCCAGGAGTGTCCAGGAGGAGGGGCAGCAGCTTGGACTCTGGGGATAAAAGAAGACTTAGAGGAAGGGGGGTCTCCAAATGGTCCCAGTTTGGGGGTGGTCCAGGCCACGCAGGCCCAAGCAAAAGGAGCCAGAGTTAGCCCATGGGGGTGGAGAAGGCTGAGGGGCACTGCCCAAGCCCATATTTCTGGCAGGGCCTCAGCAGCTGTTTTCTCCATGTCCTCTGGGTGGCTCTTAAATAGCAGCAGGAGGTTTTGGGGGGAGATGAAGCACAGTGTCAATGGGGAAGGTGTGGCGATGGGGCCTTAGGGCCATTTCTTGCCTTATTGGGAGATGTCAGCCAGGGCGGAGCAGGATGTAGGAAAGGCCTGGGGACAGGCTGGGAAGCTGGTGGAGGCTGTGGAACTGGAGGCTTTAGGCTTCAGTGCACAGTCTGGTTGCTTTCAGGGCCTGCTCAGGATTCGTGCAGACCTGCCGCAGCCGTCAGTGTGCTTCTGAGGAGACAGGCCCCAATCCCCAAGCTTTGCTTGCCTCCTGCAGACAGACAGAGGCTGTTCCAGCAAAGAAGGCTCCTTGTGAGCTCTGGGGAAAAGGTCATGCAGATACAAAAATAGGCAGTAAGTCCCTTTTTAAATTATAGAATCCAAGCCTGTGTTGTCTTTCTCTGGAATCCTTTGTTCTTTCATTCATTTGATTAACATTTGCTGAGCTCCTACTAAGTGCCACGTTCTGTGCCAGGTGCTGGGGATGCTCAGGTCCCCAGCAGGGAAGACAGGTACCTATGTAAACAGAGAGTTATGGTGGGATGGGATAGAGACTCTTACAGCAGGGTACTCAAAGTGCTGTAGCAGCATAAAAAAGGAGTTAATTTTATCTGGGAGTCAAAGGGGCCTTCCTAGAGGAGGTGACATTTGCTCTTGAAGGTGAGAGTTTTCCAAGTGGGAAAGGAAGGCCATCTCAGGAGGGCCTGGCTGGCTTGGAGAAAGGTAAGGTGTTTAAAGTACAGGGTGATGGCAGGAAGGGATTGCTGTGGCTGGAGGAATGGGTGGAGTAGCCCTTGTCTGGGCATCAGCCTGGCCCAGCTGATTTCTTTTTTTTTTAAATACATCTTTATTGATTTCAGAGAGAGGAAAGGAGAGGGAGAGGGAGAGAGACAGATAGAAACATCAATGATGTGAGAGTCATTGATAGAGCCCGCAACCCAGGCATGTGCCCTGACCGGGAATCGAACCCTGATCGCCTGGCTCCCAGGTCGACGCTCAACCGCTGAGCCACACCCAGCCGGGCGGCCCAGGTGATTTCTTAAACTTCCAGTGTTGAGCCTTCTTTGCATCTGCTGCTAGAGCAGCTTCCATTTGCCCCCAACTTTATATAGGATGAGGCCCTGCACAGGGGTGGGGTAGGAAGCTGGGTCTTGGAGGAGAGGTTGTGTCTCCTAGGAAATGGCAGCTCTGCCTGAACCCAGGGTGCCCCAGGGAGGGGGTCAAGGCAGTGCTCAGGTTGCACACATCACCTTAGCAGTTTGTGGGCAAACCCTCTTGGCAGAGGGGAGATTGCACCACCTGCCACTTCCTCCAGTTCCTTCCCTCTGGCTGTCGTCACGGTTACCTCTGCTTTGTTGGGGGTGAGGTTGAGGTTGGGCGGAATCAATTTTGTCCAGGTTTCTATTTTCCCAGATGCAGGTCAGCCAGAGGAGCTGTCACTTCTGGTTCTGTTTCAAAGGAGGCCGAGGGGCTGGGAGGTGCGTGGGTGCGGCAGTGTTGACAAGGCACCTCTCCAGCCAGCCTCCCAGGTGGGGTGGGAGTGGGTCAGGGAGAAGCTCAGAGGTGGTGGAGAAGGAGAACGGGCTGCCCTGCCAGGGTCTGTGATGATGGCTGTGGGTGCTGGTCTCCAGCCCAGGCCCTGGGTCCTGACCTCCTGGAGCATGCCGGGAGTGCATGGAGAGAGGCTGTTTATTTTCCTGGCCCAAAGCCCTTTCGGCTGAGACCTTATTCCAGGCCTCAGGCTGCCAGAATCACCCCCACTGGCTTGAGAAGTGAGAGAGTTGGCAAGCCCAGGGCAATCCGTGACCTCTCTAATGGCCTCTCACCCTAGGCTGTCCTCAGTCCAGCTGGTCATGTGTGTCCTCCAGATACTCCTGCAGGTAATGGACCATGAGAGGCATCACATCAAAGTGATCCCGATGGGCTGGGGCTGTGTGGGCCAGTGGTCAAGGGCAGAAAGGTTGAAGTCACAGAAATCCAAGTTGGAATGCTGACTCCATTTTCTAGATGAATGGCCTTGGATATATTGTTTAGCCTCAGTATCACCATCTGTCAAATGGGACAGTAGTAGTGCCTTACTCATCAAGCTTTGATTGCAAGGATTACATGACCTATGTTTAAAGCACTTAGCAAAGCAGGCAGCAAACAGCAGCTGTTATTATTGATGATGAAACAGTAACTGCCACTTTGATTGAAAGCCAGTGCTGGTGGGCAGAGTTTCCTCCTTCCCACGTTATGGGCCCTCTCCCATGCTTGGTGCACTTGCTAATGTGTCCTGGGGAGAAGTGAACCCAGAGACCAGGAGGCCCCTCTGCCTGTGTCCCACGCAGGGCACTTGAGGGGGCCCTGGGATCCTGGGATACAGGTGGGTGGTGTCCTGGGGAGGAACACGCAGGGGAGAGGATTAAAGCCAGGCGAGGAGGCTGGGAGACTGTTTTGTTGACAGGAAGATAGATCCAAGCGTTTGGAAGGGCCAAGAGGGAGGGAGAATGTACCTCAGGGAGGTGAAAGTGGGTGGGGGCAGAATGCAAAAGTTGTGCCCACGCCCAAGGTGGTTTTAAAGGAAGTGCTGAGAACCACTGGCCTGGAAAATAGTGCCCAGAGGGCTTGGGCTGGGCAGGAGAGCAGACTGTCACCCTTGGGCGCCACCTCTGTGTGAGTAGACTCCCAGGCCCAGGCCTCCTGAACTCCAGCAGAACCATGCGGCCCTGACTCCCCCAGGGGTGCGCACCTGCTCCGAGGGGGCCCTCGGGCTGCGGGGAGGTGTTTCCATCTCACCACCGAGAGGCAGCAGCTGGCGGACGGGCGGCCCTCACTGCCGCGATGTGGGTGAGGGGGGTTGTCCACCTGTCTGTCTGTGAGTCAGGAGTGAGCTGCTCCGGGCCTGCGTCCGTGTCTAATCAGCGGCTCTCTGCCCTCACAGCTAGATGAGGAAGAGGAGCGGAGGAAAAGGCGCCGGGAAAAGAACAAGGTGGCGGCAGCCCGATGCCGCAACAAGAAGAAGGAGCGCACGGAGTTCCTGCAGCGGGTGAGCCGGGCTGCGGGCCAGGCGGGGAGTGGGCTTGTGCACTGTGGGCCAAATGACATCAGCAAAGCTGCAGGTCAGCGTGTACCTGGGCATCTGCCCAAGCGGCCTTGGCCCCTCTGCTCTTCCCTGCCCCGGCCTAATGCCCCTTCCCAAATCAAGACAGCCAAGGGCAGCTGAAGCAGCTCTGGCCCACACAGGTCCCTTGGGGGGCCAGAGAAGGTAGGAGGAGCCAAGTTCCCTCCACTGAGGCTAGACCTTGGTGCTGATTGACCAGGATGGCCCAGGACTGGTACTACCCATTTTGGTGCCCTGGTGGCTGCCAAAGTTGTCTAGGGTAGGTGCTAGTGAAGTGGGTGATAACACCATGCGTGTGGGCCGTGGACATAGCACCTGGGCAGAGGCTGCAGGAGGCTCCTCCAGCTCTGCCTCCCAGCTGGCTGGCCTCTGCTCCTGCCCCCGGGGACCAGAGATCAGCTCTGATGCAAAGGCTGGGGGAAAGTTGCCTTTCCTCGGCCCTCAGAGCAGGTCCCTGCCCTTCCATTTGGAATGTACCAAGCAGGGGTTTGTTCTTTCTCTGCTGAGTCCCATTTCTCAGGCCTTTCCCAATTCTCAGAAATGGTAGATGGCAGTGAAGGAACATGACCAGAAAGCTAATTAGGCCAGGCGGTAGTCTCTCTTGCCTCCCCACCTCCAATCCTTTCTTCATTTCTAAATAATAATAGTAACAATATATAATAATAACATCATGGGTCAGGCTCTAACCTACAGTATGAACAATTAACAATAGTTGCTCACATTTGTAAAGCTGGGCACTGTGCTAACTGCTGTGTGTCTATTATCTCATTTTATTTTCATAATAATTGTACGAGGTATGTGTTTTCATGATCCTCTCTCTACAGATGGGGAAAATAAGGCATGGCAAGGTTAAACGACTAGCCCAGATTCCTCAGCAACTTAGTGGTAGAACTGAGATTTGAGCCTGAGGTTAACTTCAAAGCATTTGTTCTTCACCTCTGCTATACTGGCTCTAACTCATTCATTCATTTGTGCATTCATTCGTTCATCTATTTATTCTTTTACTCTTACATTGACTTGTTGACAAGTATTTTTAAGTGTGTACTAGGTGCCTGGCACTAGATACACTGCGGGAGACACATGTAGAGCAGACATGGTCTCTCCTATGGGAGCTGGAGAGAGAAACCCGGGTTGGTCTTGATTTTCTCTGACACTGGGGATCTATGGGTCTCTTCTCATGCCTGCAACTAACAGAGAGCAAATCTGAGGTCATGGGTGCAATCAGCATGGGGCTGTGTTACGCCTCTGGGCTATGAGCCCCTAGGCCCATTAGACTCCTAGATCTTGGAGCCCCCTTGGAAGAGATGGGGGACCAACACTGGACTGGATGTTTTCAAGAAGTTTCTAAGACACGGGTCTTCCATGGGCCTTTAAGATGGATGGAGGTATCGCATACTCATTGCCAGCCCTGAGTGTGTGCAGAGCTGGATGAGGCCCAGCAGAGAACTGAGAAGTCTCACATCAGATCCCTGCCTTCGAGGGCTCGTCAGCCAGTTAGCAGGCAAGATACGCCAAGTGAATGTAAACTAATAACACACTAGTGCAGTAAACAGTCAGTGCCAAATGAACATTGCTAGCTGCTCTTCACCTTCCAGTAACACTTACTGGGCACCTACTGTGTGCCTGGCATTACACATATCTCATTTAATTTTATAACATTCCAGTAATATATATATTGATTATCCCCGTTTTAGACATTGACCTGTAGTTCAGAGGTCAAATTACTTGCCCAAGGTCACACTGCTAGCAAGCAGTAGAGCTGGGATTCATTTATTCCTTTGCTGACCCATCTGTCCACCCAGTGTTTAGTGGTGCCCACTGCACAGAGACCAAGCAGGCGATGTCTGCAAGGGGGCGGCAGCTGGGAAATGAGGAATAGTAACGTGTGTGAGCCTTACGTTGGGCAAGCCTAGCAAGCTGTAAGAACATACAGAGAGGCCCCGTCCTAGTCTAGGCTGAGGAAAGACTGCCTGTTGAGACATAAAAAAGGAGTAGGAGCTAGCCGAGGTGAAGGACAGGGAAGCAGGGGTTACCAGGAACAGCATAAGCGAAGGCCCGAGGCAAGAGGTGTTTAAGAAAGTGGTTAAGGAATTGAAAAGAGTGGCTGGAGTTTAGAGCACTGGTGGGAGGAAGGAGAGGCCAGCAGGCCCCAGAGCCTTAATGTGTCAGGTGGTCCTCTGCGCTGGGTGGTCTGGGGCAATACCAGTGTGTCCCCGTTGGCCTGGCCTGATTATTAATAACACTTACTTTTGCTCTCACAAATGTCCCCATTAGGATGATGAATTGTGTGGTCATGGAGAGCCATGGAAGGGTTTCAGGAGAGACAGACACATCTTAGAAAGATCCCTCTAGCATGGGGCAGGGATTGGGGCAGCAGAGAATGGAGTGGGAAGGAGGATCCCTTATGTGGCTATGGTATTGTCCTGGTGAGAGGAGAAGGCAGCAGTGAGCACAAGGTGAAGTGTCTGGCCTCTGGGTCTGGGAGGGAGGTTTGCACAGGTCTGGAGAATGAGAGACATGGACTGGGCCTAACCCCAGCCCTTCCCCTTCGCCCCCCGCCTGCCCCCATCTGGCCTTGGAAGCAGAGGTTGGGTGTGAAGTATAGGCATGAATGTAGATGGCTCGTTGACAGTCATTGTCCACAGACCTGGGGAATTGTGTTGGAATTTACTTATTAGCAAGTAAAGTATTTACGAGGCCCAGAGGTACAAAGGGATGTGTGTGCGCATGTGTGCGTGTGTGTACATATATATACACATTAACATACACACAAGTATGTAGAAAATCACTTTCCCATCCTTGACCTCTGGACATCCACATCCACCCTGGGAAATTCCTATAACACCTCAGCTGGACCAGCCAAGGCTCTGAAGGAGGCAGGCCTTTGGATGGGCAGATTTTCACCCTGTGAGCCCCAGGGTGACCTCAGGACCTCCTCTGTCTGCCATCAGTTAGCAACAGGCCTCCTAGGCTTCTCCCTTCTGTAACACAGCCTCTGAACTGCCGCGCTAGCACAGGTTCCCTGTGCACTGGTAGCAATAACACCATCTCATACTCCCATGGCACTCTGCGCTCTCACAGCCACTCTCTCCTTCATGGTCACTGACTCTGGGAGGAGGCAAGGCAGCCCCATTCCACTGAGGAGACCATCTGACACTCGGAGGCATTCAAGTTTGCTAAAGGTCACACAGTGGCCGAGTCAGGACTAGAATCCAGGGCTTCCTCTACTGCCCAGCACTCTATTTAGGTTGCCCAGGCTCAGGGAACCTGGGAATGTTGTTCACAGCGGCACAGCTAGCAAGTGGCAGAGTCAGGATTTTAATTCAGACAGGTCTTTTGGGTTCAGAAGGTCGCACCAGGCTTCCTCCCAACTGTTAGGGTAACTTTAATAAAAAAAGGTAAGAGTCAGAGAATCTTAATGTGTAAAGTTCCCTGGGCCAATCAGGGAGGAAACTGAGGCCCAGAGAAGGGGAGTGACTTGGCCAAGGTCACACAGCCAGGATGAAAAGCCAGGATCCCGGCCCCTCACCCTGTATTTTTTTCTATTGCCTTTGCTGACCACAGTGGAGGAGACTGTAACTTCATGTGTACTCATTCTATTCTAAAACAATGAATGGTTTCTTTTCTCTAGGGCAGTAAATACCTACCAGCAGGCCAAATGATAAACAAAAATGCAAGCAGAGTTATTCACTTCATAATTAACATTCCGAGATCCTTGGCCAAGTTCCTAATTAATTAGGAAAACAGATCAGGTCATTGCAGCTATAAAGCCACAAACCACTTCTACAGTCATGGTTAAAAAGAGATTCTTCTGAACTCAAGTCGTACACAATACATAAATATGTAGCACCAACCAATAAAACAGAAGGAAATAAAACTAAAAAGCAGTGACAGTCTGAACAGCCAGATGGTATTCCATGATTTACCCTAACGTTTCGGAGCCAATGGTATGTCACAGCATCCCTGCGATAGATCATGTGTGAACCAAGGTGCCACACACCTGCTGGTCTTTTCGTGTGATACGGATGTTCACATACAAGGTTGGGTTGACGTGCAGTCATTTCCAGAACTGAATGCTGCACAGAACTGAATGCCGCGTGTCGGGTGCTGCCCCTCGTGCGTCCGTTTTTAACTTGCACTCACTGCACCTGCACCCTAACCCCTTGTCTGTCCTTTCCCGCCACTGTCCCGTGGCTTAAGGTAAAAATTCCTTACGCCTCCTTAACCCTTCGGTTTACAAAGTTCCTTTCCCATTCGAGTCCTTGATCAGCATCTTTTTACAGATGAGATAACCACGGCTCAGAGAAGTTAAGAAACTTGCTCTAGACTCTCATTTGAAACCCTAAAGCTTTTTTGCGGCTGCCTCTGCACCCACCTCCCAGCTTTCCACTCCACTATGTCCTAAGCTGACCCATGGTCATGATGGGGGATTTTCTCTCCTAAACACATCTTTAAAAAAAAAATTATTGATTGATTGAGTTTGAGAGAGAGAGGAAGGGGGGGAGGAGAGAGAGAGATTGATTTGTCATTCCACTTATTTATGCATCTGTTGGTCGCTTCTTGTATGTGCCCTGACCGGAGCAACCTTGGGGTACTGGGATGACGCTCTAACCAGCTGAGCGCTCTCCTAAACACATCTGAAGCTTTTCCATGCCTGTGTCCTTGTTCACTCAGGGATCCCTTCCTGAAATCCCTCACCCCCGCTGACCTCCTCTACTCAACCAGAGAGTCAACTGGTTTTTCAAACCCAAGGTCAGACCTGGCTAGTTAGCCCCCTCTGAAGGCCTTCCAGGCTCTGCCTGGCTGACGGGCACATAGTAAGCTCTGCCCTGCTGTATGGATTCTTCTTCCCCTTGGAGTGGAAGCCGTACAAGAGCCGTGGTGGGCGCTCACAGGTCTCTGGATTTCTCCAGAGCATTCATTGTATATGACAGGCCCTCAACAGGTACTCACGGGTGGGTGGGCAGAGGCTCAGAATTATTCAGGGTCAGAGCCTGGGCTGGAGAGAGCCGGATGGTCAGCAGGCTTGTGAGACCGTCCCAAGGTCAGCAGCTCATCAGACTCAGTGAGCCAGTGGCTAAGATCAGCACCTCCCGGCCCCGGACGGTCGGGCCTGGACTCATGGTGTCACATGGGCTCTCCTGGCCCTCAGAGGTGGACTTCTTCTGGAATTCTGAGAACAGTGGACCAGGCCAGCCTCCCTGTTGTGCGTCATCCTGTTGAACTAAAACCCACTATGGCTGGTTTTTAATATTTTCCCCCTGAGCATTTTTTTTCCTCATTTTGAAACTGTTCTCCCTCAGCATCTAGTCACGAGGTCTCAGCAGCTCTGAGGTCCCTGGGCGCTGACGCTGTCCCCTCAGACACGAGCATAAGGAACAATTTAGCCAGACTGGCTGGTGTGAGGAAGACAGCAGCCCAGGGGATGTGCAGGCCCCACCAGGTGGACGGCAGCTTATAGGCCTGAGCCAGGCCACACAGCCTGTCGTCACACACACAGTTGCAACCGCAGCGTGTTCTTTGTCTAATGCAGGTTGCTCAACCTCAGCACTGTTGACATTTTGGACAGGACAGTTCTTTCTCTAGGGCCACCCTGGGCATTGCAGGGCAAACGTTTAGGAGCCACGAGATGCCAGTAGCTGCCCCCTGACCAGTTGTGACAACCCAAAGTGTTTCCAGATATTGTCAAATATCTCCTGGGAGGCAAAATTGTTCCTGGTTGAAAAGCGCTGGCCTAAAACTTTGCTGGCCATTGAATAAATTCCAGCTCTTAAACTGGTTATAAGTTTTTAGACACAGTCCAAGAAAAATCATTCAGGAGCTTTTCTATTTTATTGTTATGATCCCTGAGGCTTTAATTGGTATGCCCAGCGCTATCCACACTATAAGCATGTAACCCCCCCACATCAAACCAGCGTTCTTTTCTTTCCCCGGAGCCTTTCCAACTGAGCTGCAAGTTGACTGGCAATCTCTCCTGAGGTCTATTAGAGCCTCATTTTGGATCCAGAAGGATGACTGTTATTGCCTCCCAATGGGTAAAGCTTCTTGATAACGGGATAAAGAAGAGGCTGTTGAAACAATTATAGGCTAATAACCAGGAAGCACATGTTTGAGAAGGAATTACATGGCCACACTGGGCTTGTTCTTCTCAAGCCAAAATTTCTGCAATGCACTCATCAAAGCACTTTGCCATTTCACTGCCACCCAGGGGCCACTTCTGACCCCTCTGTGGACCCTCCGCGCACCTGTTCTACATCCACTCACCCTCCAGTCTTCTCCCACCTTTTGTTTTTTGTGCAAAGGCCTTGAAACAGGAGAGTATTGGGCATATTTGAGCAACAGCAAGGAAGCCCCTGGGTTTGGAGGATTGAGTGAGGGAAGAGAGGTGGGACCTGAACCAGCCTGGCCCCAGGTATAACCGGGGCTCATCTCACTAGTGACCTAGGCCAGTGTCTCAGGTGTGAGGGACACTGCCTGCAGGCTCTGTGCTTCCTCCAGTGGGAACCTGGCAGATGGACAGCAGGGAAATGCTAGCCCTGTGCCTACCTAGAGGCAGAACCTCTCCCCAGAGCCCGTCCCAGTGAAAGCTGAAAGCCATGTCTGTGTTTGCACCCAGGAATCTGAGCGGCTGGAACTCATGAACGCGGAGCTGAAAACCCAGATCGAGGAGCTGAAGCAGGAGCGGCAGCAGCTCATCCTGATGCTGAACCGACATCGCCCCACCTGCATCGTCCGGACGGACAGCGTCAAGACCCCCGACTCAGAAGGCAACCCGCTGCTGGAGCAGCTGGAGAAGAAGTGACCATGGGCTGGGAGGAAGAGGAGGAGGAGATGGGAAGAGGGAGGAGGAGGGTCCCAAAGGGCTCTTCCTTGCTGCGTGAAAAACTCTTCAATGAGGCTCAGCACAGCCAGCATTGGCCGGGCTTTTTTGTGAAACTCAGATCAGCCACACCAGGGGAAGAACAGGCTGATGAAACCCAGGACCAAGTGCTGAGACCAAAGTAGCCCCGAGGGTGGGGCTGTCCTGCCCGGGGCCAGGCTTGAAGGAGGCAGGACAGAGGCTCTGGGCCGGAGAGACGCCCAACCAGGCAGCTGTGGGCACTTCTCTGGCCTCTCTTCCAGGGCACCCACCCAAAGGACCTCCGAGCAGCCAGGAAAAGCCATGAGTTGCAACCAAAATTCGGCTGAGAATGGAACTCTGAGTGAAACTGCAATCTGCCTGCCCCCAGCCCTCACCCTGACCCTCACCCTGACCCCAACCCCAATGCAAGGCTGGAGAGGGGCACAATGCCAGGCCCTGCTGTACCTGCCCACCGCGGTCCAGCGCGGCCCTGCCCGGGAGCGGCAGCCGGGGCGCACCCTCGCCAGCCCTGCTGGAGTTGCTGTGGGCATGAGGCGCGGGCGCCCTTCCAAAGCACATACTCACTGAATGTTTACAGACTGGCTGTCCTGGCAGGGCTTTCAACTGCACATGTTTTTTATACTTTCCTTTT